AAGATACAGACGAAGCTCGTACTAAAGGGAAGTAAAATTGCAGCACGTGCTTCGTGCTTCTCCAGCTTCGTTTGCATTTTGGCTAGTACTCAAAAAAATGCATTAAATGTTGATTTTTCTTTTGTATTTAAGCATTAGTGATGATTAATATTAGTATGATATTGGTGCAAGTTTAGTGGAACGGAAAAGCATCGTAAGGGGCAGTAATCAGGAAGCATTCTCATAAACATTTTTGGATTAATATTACCGAATGTAGTTTGTCCATATATTCAAACAGGTAGATAGATAGATTATTATGAAAAAGGACAAAATGCCTTTTTTGCTTCTCCCAAAGTTTAGTGCCTTCTTCGAGTCCCAAGCTGATTATTTATTCTAATTTACTGCCCATGATATAGATGTGAACCTGCTGAAGACATTCGAGTATTTAGAGTCCAATACTAGTGAGATCCGTGCAGATGTACGTCATACTTATTTAGAAAGCTCAGAATCTCAGTTTGTATCTTCTCGTACAATTTTTCAAGCGACTTGAGATCAGAACTGGTCAAATATTCCATATAGCAGCATTGTGTCTGGTGTATAGGACCGGATCAATGGCCGAACCTACCGACAAAAAGCAAATAAGATGACTACAGTAAAATGTACACTCCTCGAAAACATTATTTGTGCTGTTATATACAAGAACGGTGAAATGGATTCAATTTTTTTTTAATGGCTGTAGAGTCGATGAGAAATACCGCTAAAGCTGTCGGGAGTTGTCCGCAAGGTACAATTCGCGCACAGATCGATGTATCACATGTTATTTCCATTATTACTTATAAAAATGTATATAGATGATCTAAAAAATATACACAAGGGTCGATAACGACGATGGTAGCTTGCTATCCCAAGATGAAGTTGGCAAGTTGGCAGAGTGGATAGATAGATGTGCCGTTCTACGTTTTGAGCACTGAAATGCTAATTATGCATATTCCATTGGGCAGGCAGTAAAAAATTATCTATGATTTAGGGGTTGCCACGGCAGTTACCCCAAGATACGTTGTGTGACAGGATGCATGAGACAGGTATATAGTTCTTTGCGCAATCCGCCGCTCTAACTAGACCTTACACTAAATTGTTCTAAGAGACCAAAGTTTATATATCAGGCTATTCAAGATATGTGTTGAGCCATCCATGACTTACGCAACATCCGCATGGTATTCAAATTAGTTTGACGAAAAAGACACTAGAAGTTTTAGCAGGGCGCGCTACCATCAAATGCGACGAAAAAGAGCCAAACATTTCTGATAGGTTTCACCTTATTGATAAAAAGATATTCGAATATATCAGCATATAGAGCCCCCATCTTGAACATAACGATAGTATATATATATAGTAAACATTCAAATTATCAGCAAAAATAAACGTATCTTAAGTAACTAAGTGATTAAAGCTGCACTTTTTAAAAAAAACAATACGCTTTTTTTGAAGAAGCTTCCTTTCCTATTTCCTTTTACCGGAAGAGAAGATGCACATTCGACGCATTCTGCTAACATTGCTAAAACAGTCTGCGACATTGTTAAATTTAACTGACTGGAATCTAGAGGATAGTCTCCGCTCTAGTCGAACATCTGAGCTTGACGACAATTGTATGAAGGTATTCTTTACAAAATAGTGCCGACAAGTGCCCCGACTAAGGACTGATTAATGAGGATTGACCGAAAAGATGGGCTGTAGCCATGTAATTATTATTAATCACCTAAAGTCGTTATGTTTACACAAAAATCTGGACCTTACGTGTTTCATAAAACGTCTGAATCCAACAGGGGATTATGGCTTTATGCTATATCTTATCTGGGATCGAGCGCTATGCAGCCACAACGACTAGTTTTTGGGTTGTCACGGGTAGAGGGAAATGAAAAGATGTATCAAAATTCGGAATGGGTAGCGCCAGGACATCAATCGGAACTTATGCAACAAACGTTATGGTTTACGTTTGATGGAATTGATAAGGCCTAGTTCATTGCGAATTGCGGCCTGCGTACTAAACGACTGATCAACAGGTTTGGCTCTATTGCACCGAGAACAAAGGTTTTTAAAAACGACCTGACATAACAGCTTAGGTTATCCTGCTTCATGATAACGTAAGGCCATACACTAAAAACATTGTCAGAGCTGCCCTTCTAGACTTCGAATGTAGGATTCGGTATTGCATTCATTTGACAATGAATCTGGTGGACAATAAAAACCTGAAAATTGCTAATAAAAAGGAATGAATAATTTGATTGACAGAATGAAGAAGGTCGTCATTGACGATGCCTAACTTTAAATCTTCAAAAGTCACAGGGATAAAAATGTCATGTTATTTATAAATATATATATATATATATATAAGAAACTTTTTCTTTTCTACCCGGCATACCCGTGATTTATTTAGTAAATTTCTTTCATTCTATTTCTATTTTACACCTATGACTATTCTATATCGGCTGCTGGCATATCGTAAACCTATTTGTCGGCTTCTACATGATCAAAATCAAGCCTCCTTGTATATGTATTGTACACGTGTTGCCCTACTCTCGCGACTCGCCGCACATAACCCAGCACCCACCAAGAACTTAGTTACTAGGATGCCTAACGACTGTCAATAAGTTTGTTAACTTTCCTTGTTGAAATTTCGTTAAAAATTTCAGATGTATTCTCATTCAACTAAATGAAACGGACCGTACCGTAAAGTTCCCTGATATAACAATTCAGGAATGCCGAAATAACAGTATTGTGACCGATAGGACTAGCTCTTATGTCAGACAAGCGCCTATCGCGACGCGAAATGTCTCCAACAGGTTCTTAGCTAGAAGAATCTACGAGCGGTGATAAAGCGGTCGAACAGTTGACTTTTTAATGGCTTGTATCGAATATAATGGATGAAACGATAAGTCTGTTAAATGTAACTGCCTTCGTAACTGGATTTTATGGAAGGCTTTTTACAAATACTCCTCGTGAAGGATCTGGCGAAATTTACCGCCTTAATCGTCTCAGATTTTGATGGCAAATTTACACGCTAGCTTCACTGTTTAACAAACGGGCCGGCTGTATTTAATCATCTTCTCACCACCTGTTCTAGAATGACTGAATCGATTCTACTCTATCAATGAAGCGTTGATTGAGGATGCTTCCTTTGCTTTTTGATTGCTTCTATGCCGCCGATCTAGCTAGGGCTTAACCCAAACTTGTATCATTTTGGTTTGCGAAGGGTCGTGGTTATGTGTCTTCTCATAAACGAAGGCTTTGTTCTGTCGACTATACAAACAATTTTTATGTGCTCCAATCCAGGATCGGCCACACAGGTACGGCAATTTTTGGCTGTCGGTTGCTTGTTTAGTTGTCCTATATCAGGATTAGCTTCGAGGCAGTCGCTGCTAAAAGTTGAACTCGAGTGGAGTGATCCCCAACAGTCACCTTTCAATCGTCTTAAGGTCGTCATGGGTAAAATGCTTATTCATAACCAGCTTAACTCATTCATTGAAACAAAGTCATGAATGGATGCATCAGCAGTGGGTACGGGTGGCATGCCGATCGAGATTCATAGCTACAATTGAAAATACCATCTTCGTTACGTATTACGTAAGTGTGGCAAAGTAGAGGTTACTTATTATTTATCGGGCTAATGTTACTGGCGATCGCGTTTGCTCTGGAAACTCTAAAACTATTTTTGATGAAACGTCGGTTCAAGTTTCGCTTATTCTGTCAACATCAACATACCTATTCTACCAGGAACGCGTTGAGAGCAGAATTTTCGATACAAGATTTAGCATCGTAAGGTATCAAAGCGCATGTAGATGCTTTTTCGCACAGTCAAGTTCGGCCAGCGCTATATTCAAATCGTTCGGTGCATATTTATTGCAGTACCATCGGTAACCATGAGAATGTTGTGCGGAAGCGAGCAGTTTCTCTAAATAGAACTGTCCGTCAAAATTCAGAACTATCAATGCGTTCCATGCGTAGCAGGCAACCAACCAGGACCTCTTGACGCGTCTACTCCTTAGCGCGTCCCACTCAAGTGCATACACCTAGGTTACGTTGGACCGTGTCCTACCAGCTCTCTAAGAAATCTCAGTGTGTTGGTAGTGGTCCCTAAACTCACCGAATTTGTTTATCTCACCCCAATTAAAGGGATGTCTGCCGCGGTGATCATATCTGCTGTTCATGCATCTTTTTCAAAAGGAGCCTGCTCGCACATTATACTATGAATCGTGGAATAGCTTTTGCTGACCACGTTGGTGATGATGAACTCTAAAGGTTGAACACCAAGCGTCATCTAACTTCTAGATGTAGACCCTGAGTAGCAGGCAATATGAACGCGGACATGGCATAATCTCTTCGTTTTCGGCCAAATGAATTCGTCACCAACGTACATAGGCAGATGCCAGATTACTACGTCTGTAAAGGGCACTATCGCCGTAGTCTTTATCAGAACTATGTGTGGGTTTAATTCAGCTATTCCAGATCTACTGCTAGTTGGTAGTCAAATACTTGGCTAGTCGGAAGGAGAAAGCTGGAAAAGGCCCAGTAACAAGGTTAGGGAGCAAGCATATCGTTAGGCTACTAGGTCATTGTGAAGGGCTCAAAAAGTATTAATACAAAACACACTGGTATTAATACAAAACATACGAGCCGGTGGCGTTGTATGGGGATCTGCATATTCATAAAACACGGCTAGTATGTTAAGGAAATTAAATGCCATATTACGATCTCTAGTAATGGTGAAAAAAATATCGTAGAGTCTGTCGACCCGAACATCAAGGTTTTAAACGCATAGCGCACCTAGGCCAGCTAAAGCGCTTTGGCAGTACAAGCAATAAGCCGTGCGTAGGGGAGAACCTAGATCTCGTTCCAGACGACGAACCTCCTCTGCTCTTTCAGGCCACTAAAGCCCATTACTCGTTCTCCCGACTCTCCATTTATAAGTATCTCGCTTAGCAACGTATTCACCAGTGTTACAACTTGTCTCAGCTTTTCGACGATGCCTTGCCAACGACACTTTGGACCTCACCACTCGATTTCGATTGTCAGTATGTCTAACTAAATGCTTCGATCCAGCTTAAAAGCAGACACTCCGTTCTCGCTGAGTTTATAGAATGGGTATGTTCACGCACCCCTACAATAATGTCCTAAACTAGTTGTACAATCAACCAAATAACCTCTAGGACTACGCCCCCATCAATGTCGTCGGGCGACGATTCTGAAAGCAACAATCATAGAGAAAAATTATTAAAGACAATTAAAGAGAGATCATCATCTCAGGCAGGCCGAGTGATGGGAAGGTTTTCAAATAACCCTCGTTACCAGTAAGTCAAGATGCTCGAAATGTTAACAGAGGTCCTTTGGTGTATACGGTCCATACTTAATTGTTGATTGAAAAGTCTTCTTCTATTTTATCACGATTCGTCATCTATGGTAAAGCGGTATTGCTTAACAATTCATTATGAACTTATCAGTATGTTGATATGCGCGTTCAGACCCAGAATGTGTTAAGGTTGTATGCTCGTACTGCAGAATTTGTGCGGTCGTCATTGCTATACTACTTAATGGTTGAACGGGACGGATAAATATCGAGTATAGCTTTTTAGCGCGTATTAAAAGCACAATTGGATTTTAAATTCTGTTAACAGTGAATATGTACTGCGGCAATGTCTACGCTCGGGTAGGCAATGTAGTGGCATATTTAGGATGCCTATGCAGAATTATACCTCAGTCCGGGTGTGACGGTTAATTTCATAAAGGCTGCAATAATCCACTACTGCGTACGCCTTAACATCAAATGTAAGTAAGAAGGAAGTCTACTCTTTGATTTTCTCTATTGTCATACCTTGAACCGTAGGGCTGATATTCGCCCCAGAAGGGGCACCGCTACTGTGCATGCGAGTAAACAAAAAACATTACCTGTTATAGTTTTTTTCTTTTCATTAGTGCTTTCCATTAGTAAATGAGGCAACTTGGTCGTTGCGATAGTAAACAGCAGTTTTCTTCAAAATTTACGGTCATCCACATAATATGAGCTTTTTCTTATATATATATCTGAATAAGAGAATATGTACTATGTTTATCTCATTCTTGTATTTCTAGAAGGTCCCTATTGTAGGCGGTATTATGTAAACGACGTGGGGCACGGGATTCCGATGCTGGTAGCTGTTCTCTTCTGAGCTCCAATGATTTTTCGCGGATAATTGGACTTGCAGGGAAAGCAAGAGATGGCGAGAAAGAAATAGAAATCGCATGTCCCCCCGGGGGTGAGCTCGCATGCGACAGATAACGTGCGATGAGGCAAGTGCACGTGACTTCCTTAGTCCATGCATACAGAGCCAAACTGGCGACAGAGCCATTGATTGTAGTGGACGGGCAGCGGCACCCGATAGATGGGCAAGACTGAAAAATTATCTACAAAGTCGCCGCTGCCGTTGTTGCTACTCTGTACAGACCACTGATTCATATTACGTAATACATAGCACCGGTCAGTGTCGTCTGCCACAGCTTGGGCAGCTGGATTATAGCAGACTATAGGTATCTTCATTGGCGCGATAAGAAATCTTCTGAAACAAGCAAAAATCGCCTTTACGACGAAAGCATCCCTTAACGCAGTCCGCGGACAAAACAACGTGCAATAATGAATACTGCTATGAGGATTAACCCACTTGTGTGCCCCTGTGTACCACTAGCCAACCCTTATTTCCATACACGATGTGTATAAACAGTAATCGGCCATAGCAGACAACAGCGAGGATCGCTTACTGGAACACTCAAACCAACAAGTGTATTCGTGTTACTCTGGCACGCGTAAACACACTCAAGCAGCAGATTATAAAACACTATGTGGGCATTACGATAAAACTGAAAGCAACATAACAGAGTTTGTCATATCATACAAATCAGCAATATATGAGTATGCATAGTTGTTCCCGGAAAGAAACTAATCGTATCCCTAGTACAGATTACGAATAGATCTATTGTGGTCAACCGTTTGTCAGCACTTACCTTGTAAGTTTTAGTGCAGCTCGTAACTCTCTCTTGTTTTCTTTTTTGCTTTTTTTTTTTTTTCGTTTTAATATGTTTAGCCGGGATGCTGTCAAATGATAGCCATTTCTTGCTTTTTGCCCTTACTTTTTCCTAACCGCAAGTTATCCTCAGATGGACGAGGAACTCGAGTACGCGTCGCGCTGCCACATCGTGCGCCTATAGCTTCACTGTTCAGTAAGACTTAACTGCTGAACGCCGTCAACGCCGACCCAGGCTACAATGTTATCGTTCACCACCATCGCCGTTGCTACCTGTTGCTGGTTGCCCACATTGAGTGTAAAGTGATGTAAGCGTATGCGATAATGCTGCTACCCCTACTAAGGCTCTTGCCCATCCAGATGCGCAGGGCGCAAGCCGGCGAGATATGACAGAGCGATAGGCAATGGCTTCAGGTAGAAGCACCAAACAACGTATGCCCGTGGCCGTGGCAACCTGTGGCTAGGTGGCGGCTTTTGCAGCCACGACGGCAACAGGTTGTCGCACTTCTATCCGGACAGTGAACGCACTCAGCCTGAACGAAGCAAGCAGCGGGCGGGCGTTCGTTCGTTAGTCGGTAGCCAGAATTCGCGCATCAGTCGCAATACAGCGAACACTTCAATACACAACAGTCAGTGCTATGGACCTGCTTTACGGATCTACCTATAAGTAGTATACCACATAGGCATCTTTATAGAGGCGCGCGATGTATTTTCGACCAGATCTCCGCAAATGAGTGGTTTGTCTGGCTGACTGGCCTGATACCGTTGGACAAATCATCAGTAGTGGTAGGTGCGATCGGCTGAAAATAGACCGAGACAACATTTGGCTGACTGGCCCTAGTCCCCTTAATCCGGCCTAGTCGCTGTAGACGACCAAGCCGGCTGAATGAACGCCACACGCATGTCGATTTGCATTTCTATAAAGCGTAGTAATTTGCGTTACCTCGCTACCGGCACAATGACTTGCACTTTGCTTTCTGTATTAATGGTACCGTACCGGCTAGCACGAGGCCCACATATCTCGCCCAAGCCTGGATACATTTGTTTATCGTTCTACCGAAAGTTCCGTTGACACAAATGACATTATTGCAAATAGTATGTTATGATGGGTGCCAGCCACGGCGTGATGCAGTTGGGTTTCATTAATCCTAAACGGAAATGGTTCGACTTGGGACTCTTATTTTTTCATAGCTTTTATTATCACTTGGCAACAAGCAGTGCGCAAGATGATACTCCATATTAACAACACAATTCGATATCTACTTTTTTTTACTGAGATATATCATTTATTAGATAAACTGTGTATCATAATACGTTTATAAACGAAGTGCAGCGTCGCAACAGTATCTACTTGGATGCGAGCCTAAATGTGACGAGTTTTCCGTATGTTCTGTTATTAACATGTGTTTCCTTTTTTATTTCATGTTTGCTAAATCAGTAAAACGACTTGGTAACTTCACATGAAAAAGTGTCAGGTCTAGAGGCAAAAGATCATGGGCAAACTTGCCGGTAACTAGAGTTATGATACTACCCATTATGTCTTTGTACCTTCATGTCATATATGTAGCTATGTCTTTAGACTACACAACGGAGAAACAAGAAACAAAGCAGATCAACAGAGTGTACAGGCCACTGTAGGCCGAGACTTAGGGCAAGATATTATCTCATTAGTTCGTTTTGAAAAGAACTACTATAAGAATTACTATTATATATACTTGTCTACTGAGCAAACGATTTCTGGTAACACCAGCAGATTTCTTGCCATGAATTGATAGATACAAACTGTTGTGACATTTCTAAGGAATATTCTCTAAAGCGTTCTGTTGAAAACTACTATCGAGATTTGGAAAAGGTGCGTTTGTTACAATGGACGTTGCTATAAATATGTCGCTAGTCTACCGGGCAAATGAATGCATTCTACTGGGCTATAGAATAATATAAAAGCCAAAACCCATTTTGGGTGTTGCAGCACACACATGTCTGATTCGGAATGATTAATGGCTCCTTTACCCAAGCAAGTTCTCTCCAAGAAACTTTTCTGTGGTTCTTAAAATGCATTTTTTTTTCCCTTCTTAAAGAACCTTTTTTTGTTGCTGGGGCGTTCTACCAGATAGGTACACTTGATGGCTGCAAACGAAACCGCAGTTTTTCATGCTGTTGTGCATTGTGTTGTTCTGTTAAAATCCCTTTTTTCAACTTCAAAAAGGCTATCAACATCGCTTTAGCTCTACCCCTAAAAGCAGATAGTTCAGGGTAAAAAGAAAGTGAATTTTTGGATACTGACCTACCGACGCAATCCGATAAATCTGTCCAGTATCTTTGAGCCGTCTCCAATTTTGGTGATATAGGCTGATTGAGCAATTATCCGTTTTCAACGGCAGCTCACAGCGATCCTCGTTTCATTGTCAAAAAATTTCTTTGAACTCGACAAGCGCTTCTTGTATAGCGATTTCAGTTCAAAATTGTCTTTGTTTGCCCAGTTTGTTTCGGGAGCTTTTTGACATCGACGGAAAACGAATTAGTGCTCTATTTAGCTTACATGGCCATCTTCGAAGCTTTAATTCAAGCTAAACTTTTATAGGATAATAATCTCGTAGAACAATAACGTTCCATATAGCCGTAAAGGATCCTTAAAGAGGGAAGTAATAAATTAAAATATCCATTACTTTTGTAACCGATTAGTAACACGTTACTGCCAAGAACACTCAACTTCTCAAATCACTCAAAACGGGCATCTTTAACCGTCGAGCTTGACGCAAATGAAAGGTTGCGTCCAATACGGGATGTCAACAGCGTCATCAGAAGAAACGCAGAAAGACTACGGCGACAGTTATGGGAAGCCTCGCGTTGTCACCGCTGACATCCCGCTGATTGTTGCTGCTCCTAGTGACACTTGTCAAGTCGTTGGTCAAATTGATTTACAGCTCTGTTACTTGCATTATTATTATTATTAGGTTATCTTGACCTATTTAGCAGGTCGAAAAGCAGCAACAAATCAGGACTAATGCCCCAAAACTAAATGTTATTGCGTTGTACTTTCTAACTAAAATTGGGAGTGTTTTTTATTATTATTATTGTTGTACTACTAACTGCATTTGTTAACATTTCAGGCATATACACATTAATAAGATTCAAGATAAATGGTGTCTATCAAGAACTTTTTTCAGTTGCTCCAAAAATAGATATGCTTGGAAACGGGGGTATTAGGTAAAACGCCACATGCCGCGTTCTTTGGCAAAGCCAGCTTCCCATAGTTTCACCGCACAGGAGTGCTACTACCATTGCTACTACTGATACCTAATTTTGCTCAGACCGATGTTGGGGTAGGATGGGCTTTTTCGGATGCCGTCGCGACAGCGATCGAGCGACCTAGCTCGGACGAGGCTTAAAGGGACTAACTCCTCTATATAGCCCCGTGAGCTCTGACGCCGCCGAGAGCTGAAAGCCTCAAGGGTCAGTTATGCCCAGCGGGCGACTCCTTGGGGGAGCCACCGAGCCAGTCGGAACTAGTTCTGTTTCTGCTCGCCCCAAAAGAAATCTGTCGAGTCTCACGCTTACCCCTCCCCTTGGTTCTTTATTCCTCTTCCTTTCTCGTTGCCCGCCTTCAGGCCACATCCCCAAATCTCCTTCATCTTCTCTACGTCCCCATCCCGTACCTTAGGCCAGCCAGTGGTCGTTTTTCAGTGGTCGTACCGAGCGCTCTGGCCGCTATCGCTGCGGCTGCTGGTGCTATAGCCAACGACCAAACACCACGGTTTCTACTCAAAACCAACAGGAGTCGTCGTACCCCCCTGCTTTGCTAAATGTTCCCGTTGGTCCTTCTTTCTTTATCGCTCGCCCGCACTTCCTTTGCGTTTTTTCTTGTCAGCCTCATAACACTACTGTGGGCATCAGCAACGGCAATGGTGGCGGCTGACGCTGAGCTCACCATGACAGCGACGGGCCGTTCTCAATTCAATTTAGAAGGAGGGGTCGAAAGCCGCTAGCGACAAGTAGCAAGATTTGCAAGTATCAATGTTTGGCCAGAAGCAGGGTTGAGTTTAGAGTGGGGGGGAGGAGGAGGAGGAGGAGGAGGAGGAGGAGGAGGAGGATGAGGAGGAAGAGGAAGAGGGAAAGGAAAACGGTCGCAGTCGGGTATATCCGGGCCGGTAGTTCGGAACCACGGCATTCGACGGCCGGGCTTATGAGCGGCTGTTCGGCAACGGAGCTGCAAGCGCTTTGCTACTACTGCTTTTGAGGTCGTCGGTGAGATGGTTTAAGAAGGCGAGCAGGTGACTGGGCCTTAGTCGAGTCGACGATAGTGAAGCCGCTGCCAAAGCTGCTTCGGCCTCCACAGCTTTTGGGCTATGTACAGGGTTGGATATATGTTTGCTTTTTACTGTTAGGGGTCGCTTGGAAAGCAGAAGGTAACGGCCAGAAAGGAGTACACGAGAGACTTGCCAAAAGAAGAAGGGAACAACGGACTAGGGGGGAGTACGGGGACCGTGGAAAAGGGACGACCTCGGCCGACTGCGACAACGACAACGGCGACGGGGACTATCCTGGTCATTGTCCTCGCGGTCGGTATTGTCGCCACGCTACTGGCTTCATCGTATGCTATCGCAGTCGGCATCTTGCAGTCCAATCGCTGACCCGCCGTCAGCCTTTTCATTTTGAAATGGGTACACACGACTACCACGTAGCCACGAGATGCAACTTTTTTTTCATTGGTGGCTTGAAGCCCCGCTAGACCACCTCTAATGCCAGTTACGGCGGCAATGGTAAAGAGTTCCGGTTTTGTTAGAATGAATTGTAAGGAAACGTTGAGGCAGGGAGCTGCACGGCAGTCGACCGACGACCAGCTCAGTAGAAGCAACTAGTTAGCGAGACGTTCATGAGAATTGGCCCCGGTGATGGCTGTTTGCACTACGAAGGATGACCACCAGCCCTGGCCAGCTGGCGTAATGTATTTCGTTCTCCAATGTCGTCGCCCTGCAATCGCAGCTACTATTTGTTTGAACGGACACCACTAGTAACAGCGAAAGTATCAGTAGCAGAGAGAAGTTAGTTACCGACTAAAGAAAAACTGTAGTCAACACCCATCGTGCGTTGAGTTTTTATTTTACGTGTATTTATTTGCCACAATCGGTATAGTTGTTTTGCCACCCTACGTCCTACTATTGCTGTCATTGTGACCGCTTGCGAAGGTGTTTACTTTCTTCTTCCTTGTTGTTTTCGCTTATTATTATTATTATTATATTATATCGATACGTCTTGGCAGTATCACCCAACTTCATGTTGAAATAGTCAAGAGGAAAAAGCTAACCGCTGCGGTTGCCTGCTGGCTACTTCAGGGAACACGGCTGCTGTCAGTGGCCGAAACAGTAAGATGGTTACTTCTGTCGACCAGATCGAGTAGTACTAGAGGAAAAAACGAAGGTCATGCAGAAAAACCACAGCTTTTTTCCCTTCCTTGTACAAACAATTGGCACTAGAGTAGCGTTGGCGGAACTCAAGCGATTGCGACGGGCTGTAGTTCGGGGCTAATGTGCGGCACCCAAAACAAAGATGGAACGACCACTTATTCGCTTAGGAAAAAGCCTCTTCTTGGTTTGATCCTACACCTCACGGAGGAATTACCACCGATTTCGCAATTCTCAGACCCATCACCCCATCCTCCCACACGCACGCAAACAAAAGGAAGGTGACTGAGAACATTCCATGCCGAACAGCAGAATAAAAAACAGCTACCCGTTCTATTTTATGTAAACTAGTTTTGCCAGTCTTGCTACACTGGGACGCTAGGTTTATTTGAAGGCGTTGACCTCGTCACCACATTACAAGTAGTGTTCCCAATCGTGAAATGTATAGTAGAAATTAGACTAGAAATTCTATCCTTATTTTAAAATGGACTATGTAAGCAGATAGTGTATTAATCATATCAGTTACCGAAGACAAAGGGAAGCTTGCCTGGACTAAAATCGGAAAAGCCTAAGCCATTACGTTGTAGCCTTTGGCGAACAAGTAATTGCAGGATATCAGTACCGTCAGCACGATAGCCATATCTATGGTCAGGTGATTACCGTGAGTGGCAGAGCGCCGTACAAAAAAGTTAATGATGAATGTCTTCTAAATCATTCTAGGTTATTCGCGGCTTTCAGCTCAAACGGACCATAATTCCTCCACTATAATGTGCTAGTCAAATATTACTCACATTTCCGCCAGACGACTCCTTTCCTGCTCCTGGTGGCGTAATACGTTCACGACGGTCGATGTGCCTGTGGTGTTCAACATTCGATGTAGAAATTCATAACAGCTATATAACTATTATCACGATCAGTTGTAACGAGAGCTATATTACTACAAATAACAATAATTGGAGGTGTAATGATATCTCAGCGGTTGTGGCTTAGGTGAGGACGCCAGTCGTACTGCTACTCTCGTGTTGTATTTTGAGGACGTAGTGATGGCGGGATAAAATGAAGGACGTAAGGAGAAGAGCTCCAGTCAACACGAGATCGCGCTTCGGATTGGAGTGAGGGATTGAGGAGCTAGAGGATGTAACTGGTTACCTGGCCGCAACCTGAGCTGCCTTTCCCCGCATTCAGGAGAAGGTGGAACGATGGAAAGGGACCACGCCACAGGTAAGACACAGGTGAGTGAGAGAGAGAGAGAGAGAGAGAGAGAAATGGGAGAGGTTATCTGTGGAGTGCACGAGAAAGAGTCAATGTAACTGATGGCTAAACTGTGGTAAAAGGCAAGCAAAGAAGGCAAGGCAAGTTAAGGTAAATGGGACGCTTGGTCGATGCTAACGACGATCCTGTGACCAACTCTAGCAAGCTCCTACAAATGAGCGAGCGGACGGATGGACGGACGAACGAAGACAACGATGTCATCCAGTTCGTAGACCAGGGTAGTCGTAAAAGGAAAGGATAGGTAGATAGTCGGTTGGATAGAGGGCTTTGCGCACCTTGGGGAAAGGGTACATCTGAAAATGGGCATACTCGATGTTCTACGGCTGAAGCCCACAGAATGGGCATCCCGGAGCCCACACAGAGCGTGTGGGATAGTACTGTCAAATAATAAGAACAGTGGTAGAGAGAAAAATAATAGTCATAACTAGCACCGATTCAAAACCTAGTTAGTTTTTATTCGTTTTAGTACAGGTCTTCTATTTGTTTTTTGACAAGTTATATAAAACCATGAACATTCGCCACCCAACACATTAAAGTTATATAGGCGTTATTACAGCAAACACCATTAAATGGTGAAAGCCGAAAGATCCTTGTTACGGACACGGAGTATACCTACTTCCGCCTTGACAACTACTTGATTGCGCAAAGAAAAAAAAAACGGGAATTTCCAAGGCCATGGCATTTGATCTAACCAACATCGATCGATCTACCTATTGGTGTTGTATTTACGGCAGCTTAGGTAAACTATATTTTTAGAAGTAATATTTATCGTGTAATTTTACGATAGGTGATGTAACGTGACTTAGCTATTGGATAGGGGAGCATGTATCCGCAGAGGTACTAAGATGAATGTAGAGTAATTGCGAATAGTGTGTTTTGTCGCTCTTATACACATATATGTATATATAATGGTTGTGCAGACGTTGAGACACACTCACAAGAGCGTTTCAGCGTAAACTTCGCATGAAGCGAACCGCATAGTTTACAATCTGTTTGCGATAGAAGCATGTAGCGGCAACATTGAATCGCCGCAACAGACGATCTTACCTGCCGGAATGACTTCTCAGTTAAGTTAGTGGTGTTAAATGAACAAAAGCTACACTCTATTTGCCCAGATTACTACTACCATCGCAATTGCCGTCTCCACGAATAGTTGCTCCCCTACTTCCTCTCTTCCCGTTTTTCCCTCAAAGTAAGACACCGGCGACAACCTGTAGAGGGCGCGCTCAGCGCATGCGCGTTACCTCCACCTTTCCCCCAGATGTGACGGCTTGTAGCGCGACAAGTAGGCCCCCTTGATCGCGTCGCGTGGTGGTAGCACCCATCCACTCGCACTGTTTCTTTTCCCGCTCCTGATCAAAACGATGAACTACGATGAAACAGGCTGCTATTACTTATCTGGCTGTTGTCCTTATACTTATCCAATTCTTTACATCCCCCCCCTCTCCCTCCCCGATTTCTTACTCCAGTACATTTACATAACCCCTGCTAGTTGATAAAGTATGTCAAGAGGGCTACGAACCGAATGATGCAATCGAAATGAATATTCATGCTCTTACGACCGATACTACCCTTATGCACTGCCCCAGACGGTTGACTCTACTAGCATCAAAAAAGGTGTGTCTATGCTCGACTTCGAGCCTAAATCATCTAAAGTCTAATAAGATAACGCGCTACCATAGCAAAAACAAAAAGAAAAAAAAGAGTATCTTACCTTGCTGTTAGGCAGCTTTATACATTACAATGCTAACTTCTAACGGCAATATTTTGTCTATGACATTAAGCACAGTACCCGCTCTGAGCGGAACTGATTAAATGTTCTTTTTCCACTTGCTTACGCTGTGGTATTCGCATATTATTTGAATAGTTCCCTGGGGAAAATTAATATTGATATTTTACCTCCAGTTTTCAGGTACACTGTTTTCAACCACATTACGGCTTCTCGATCAAAGTAGAACTTCTATGCCACAATGATTTTTTTAATATTTCACAGCTATTGATATAGATACTTCAAAGAATTTAAACCTGAAGTCAAACAGTTTCGAATGCGTTTATGCAATGATTGAAAGAAAAATAGCCACGTACATATCAGTTATGTTCTCTTCCTTCGTTTTCTCTGTCATTCAATGCTATATATAAGTATAATCATTCCTTGCCCATGGGGCTGCTGGCCTCTTGCTTCCAGAACGTCCGGCAAGATCTTCGGGTGCTTTTTCCTGCAGTCGTAGACTTTAATATCGTTTTGATGCCTATGTTAGGTAGGCTTGGTAGACAGTCGTTGACCTATAAGACGTTTGTCCTTTTTCACCAGTGTTCACAACCGGCTAAAGCCTTTTCACTCTACTGTTGATGAACAGATGTTGTCATTTAACCAGAGCCCATAAAGATTTGGAAAACGATTTTACCGTCTCTCCAATATATATTATATTTCACTTGTTGCTTGGGGTCACTGTCCTGCGGAAGCCCAACGATCGAGACACTTTTTTTATCGACTTGTTTCTTGCAGACAACTGGCTTGGTCTTAGTACAACTGCGGCCTTTAGCAGATGCTAAATAAGAAAAGATTTAAGTAGGTTTTGTCGTGAACAACTTCAGAGCGGTTCGAAGTACTGTCATAGTTGCTTCTCTCACCTGTATATGGAGTTCAGAAGCGCTAGAGGCTCTATCTACACATAAAAACAAATGTTTGGTTTAGTCTTTCCCGTAGTGATATACTCACAATAAGCGCTCAGTAATGTTGCAATATTCTGGGCAAAAAACAAAAGCATTGTATTTTTGCAGGATAGCAACTCCAGATAAAAAGCAGAACGAGCTTAGAAATGGTTCAAACAGTATACAGATATTGTGGGTACGTATATTATAGCAATTCAATTTTTTACCGTAAAAAGTATGTGTCTTATATAAAAACTTGAGCTATAGTAACCTCGGCTTTCAAGGCAAAGCCACCCTGTGACGTCACTGCTCCTATCCAACCTTTGTAGGGGCAAAAACTTGCCTGGCACAAAGTGGTTTAGGTAACTGGCAGCCTATTTATTTAAACAATAAATTGAGTTCATGTATTTCATGCCGGTGCTAGTGTAACCGATGATACAGGACGAACCGGAAGTTATCAATGAGCATTTTTTGTAATTTTTTGGTCGCGCTATATATTGTACTAGTAATAATCAATGTGACGCCAGCACATAGCATTTAGGGCTATAGAAAAATGCCAGAAAACCCGTTAGCACATTTACTAGACCAGCTATATACAAATAACGAAAAGGATGCTAAGAATTAGTCCATAAAATGTACATATTTGGAAGATTATAACCAAAGTGCTCTGATATAGCTTGTTAAGAATATTGTTATCCTTATTCTCACTTTGTTTATGAACATACATCATCGCTTGAATATATTTAAGACGAAAGAAAACATTAAATTACATTTAAAGTTATACATATAAGTTACATTTAAAGTTATACAGCCAGGTAAAGTTACAGTTTGGAACGTATCATAAAGGTTTTCCTCTTCTATTGTATCATAAATTTACACATTTGTGGTTATACAAGTAAAATTGTTTATTACGGTTACCTCAGTCATTTCTAGATACCATCTAAAGATCTCACTTGAATCGGTGTGATAAGTTGTATTCCTTAGAACCAAGTACATTTGCATTGCAATTAATGCAATCCAGAATGGAAATTACCCAAACCAACTTAAGTTAGACGTTCGCATAACAACTAATTTCATTACCGACAAACGTGGTGGTAATCCCTTAGACAATGTTTAGCAACAAGTGGATTAGAAGTCTGTACACCAAACTGCAACGGAATTTTCAGCGCGCCGCTTCCAGCGTGGACCTTACAGGACACAATGGTCAAACCCTATCCAGGACGTTTACTTCATATACGATAAGGTTGCTATCACTGAAAGGATTGTTCAAGAGTAGTTTACCAAGTATGAAGTCGTATCCGGGACTCAGAGGATACCGGTTATCTGAATCTTATGACGACCATCTGAAGGCACTCTTGAGCTGTACCTACATAACCGCCATCAACCACTTTTTCTCTTGGGATTGCAGAGCAACTGAGAGCTTAGGTACCTCATGAACTCTCGGAATCAAAAAATGAGATGATGGTTTAACGTTGCATAACTGCTGGTATTAAGCGTCATCAACAATTTTTGCACAGAATTGACACCGGTGATGAGAAATGGTGTCTGTAAGTAAAAGAAATCGAAATCAGCGGGTCCAGCAGAAAAACCTAAGCCAAAGGTCTAACCAGATTCTCGCCCAAAGGAAATGATGCTTTGGCGTTTGATAAAACAGTGAGGGCCTGGCTCATCAACAATTGCTACCTAGGAATCAACAAGTTGATCGGCGCGTTTATTTGCCCCGGTTGCATGGATTTAACGCGTGGCAAATGTCATCAAGGCGGTTTTTTTGAACTTGAAACGGAATGTTCCTGCTGTACCTTTAATATTTTCTGGATTTTTTACCGACGAATTTTCAACTGTTTCGTTCATTGGGACCTTAGCGGCTTTATTTTGGGTACGGATCATCGATCTAAAACGTGCTCGATAACGTTTTTTCGAGATAGGGAGAGAGACATTTAGAGATCTTTGCTGTTATAACAGTTAGTTGTGTGCTGATTTGAGCGTATTTGAAAATCGCGCTTGGCACAAATTTCGCATATCCAGAACGACTGCTTTAACATCTTTTGGAAATTTTAACTATTTATGCGACTTTATACTGTTGTCTATTGTGCGGGTCGCACGTTCCAGTGTCTGCATAATAATATTGCAATGTCTGCATGAATAAGAAATTGTCAAGGGGTAATTCTGAGGCAGCTGACGCTAACCAGATCCAGCCGCTGCATAACTATGCAAGACCACCAAAGGGCGAGAGTTTTGCAGGATCGTCAAGTACGTGCACACCATTACCTGAGCTCGAGTAGACTCCATAACTAGTA